ACCTTGTGAGCACCCTGAATTGCAGGAGCCGGATTTCTCCCCTCAGGGTCCAACAACTGCACTGTGTATAGTTACAAATGCGACAACCCCACAATGCTGCAGAGACAACAGACAATTTTAGCTCACACACACACATACACACACACACACACACAAAGAGAGAATGGTACAAGAAAATGACCAAGATGCAGAGCTTTTCAGAAAACATTTCTTAAGAACAAAAGTTAGTGGAACTGAAAAAGAATTCAAAAGAATGTTAATTAGGTACCTTGGAAGGATCAATAGGAAAGTAACGGGAACACAATGAAAACTTTAGAAGAATACAGGAAAACACTTAACAGATAAAACAAATTCAAATTTTGAAACAATACAAAACCTGCAATTAGGTATCAAAAGATTAAGATCTCAGAAATAGACAATACACTCAAAGGGCAAAGAAACAGATGCAAAGCAATAAACACCCAAATTAGTGAGCTTGAAGATAAATTGCTCAATACTAGTATGCTAGAAGAACAATCCTGTTGTGGCACCATAGGATAAGCACTCAACCTCAAGGTTGGTCTGAACCTCAAGGTCATCGGTTCAAACTCACCAGCTGCTCCTCGGAAACCCTATGCAGGGTTGCTGTCAGAACTGACTCGATGGCACTTACCAACAACAAAAGAACAATCAGAAAAAAGAACGTAAAAATGTGAAAAATGCCTAAGAGTTTTATGGGACACGGTGAAAAGAAATGACTTACGAGTGATCAGAATTCCAGAACAGGATGAGATAAGCTCAGAGAAAGTGACTGAAGAGTTGTTGGAAGAAAACGTCACTAACATAATGAAAGACAAGAAAATAAGCATACAAGAAGCTGAACAAACACCAAACAGGATATATTCCAAAAGAAAATCACCAAGACACATCATAATCAAACTTCCCAAAAACAAAATCAAGGAAAGAATCCTGAGAGCAACTCAGGAAAAACTGAAAGTTACCTACAAAGGAGACCCAGTAAGAATAAGCTTTGATTTCTCAACAGAAACCATAGAGACAGATGACAATAGGATGACAGACAAAACTGGAAAGAAAAAGAATGCAAACCCAAGAATCACATAGCCAGCAAAAAGCTGCTCATTAAATATGATGGCAAAATGACAACATATCCTGATAAACAGAAATTAAAGGAATTTGTAATGAACAAATCAACTGTACAAAAGTTGCAAAGGTTGTTCTTTGGACTAAGAACCAACAACGGCAGACAACAACTTGAAATTACCACATATGACAACACTACCTAGAACTCAATCCCGATATACAAGTATTTACAGGGTAACTTTTCAAAAAATACTAATACACTAGGCACATCAAAATCAAGAGAGGAAAATCAGAAAGATTTATTAAACATTAACGTAACAGAAATGATGAAGAAGAGAAAATCCACAAAATAAACTTAGCATAGAAAATTATGTGGAGCAATAAATCCAGCAGCACCACAAAAAAACCACACAGGAAAATGACAGCTAGCAATTCAGACCTTTTGATCATAAAAGAACAAACGCTGTATGAGACCGATGATGTACAAAGTTTTTTTTAAAAAAGGTGTTCTTGATAAAAGAAACAGTCTGACGGCTAGAGGGGGAGTGAAGGAGAGAAGATTATTTACTGTCTCAAGGGTAGACACAAGTTACCATGGGTTACAAGGCAGGCACTACACAGAAAGAGGGAGGTCTGCAAAGGGAAGATGAAGGCAGCAGGGGACACAGGGAGGAGTGCAGTAGTTACTGAGAACAGAGGTAAATGCTGCTAATTGTCGGTACACGCGGGGGGGCTGCAACCATGTTGTGAAACAAAGTGTAGGGTTTGATGAATGTAAAACTGGTGATCTGCTCTATAAACCGTCACTCAAATCACAATAAAAAACTAAAAACACAACAACAACAAAAAAACTTTTGTTAAAAGCTTCAAAATGTAAAATAAAAAATTAGGATAGAAGCAAGATTCTGTATAGCATTCATCTTTGTTCCCTGGCACAGTGAAGGTACTAGACTAGTATTTGATAGGTAAGCCAATGAAAAGTCTCATTTGCTAAGCCAAAATTCTCTTTTCCTTCTTCAAGCAGGATCCCTTTTTTCATCCTTACTTCAAAACTAAGGTGGCAGACAACAGTTCTTCTGACCACAAAGACCACAGAGTCTTAGCCCTCCCATCATGGTGGCCCCCCGAACTGCAGAGCACCATTTAAAAACCACTGTTCCTAAATAACTGGGTACACATCTTTTCCTTCTGTCATCTGTGGAACAGTAATATTTGTATAAAGTGAAGAACAAATTAAATAAGGCTTTGGTTTTTGGTTGTTTGTTTTGGTGTGGGTTTTTTTTTTTTTCCAACAAAAAACAGACTTTCATTTACCAAACTTCCCTTGTTGTGAAGAACACCATGCTTTCTATAACTCAACAGATGGAGAGTTCTATACTATCATCATAAGCAGAATATTCTGTTATTCAACAATCATACAAATAATGCACAGATTAAATGGAGAAGAGACAGAATAACAGGGGTTCTCCTGCACTCGGTTTTGTTCAGACTCTTCACTTAAAAATTCACTAACAAATAAGAAGACAGGGAATTAAGTGTTTTACTTCTAATTCTTGTAAAGCTTAAGCCCTGGGAATGGACCCTCTAAGTGAATAAGATAAAGTTGCTTTCCAATGGGGAACTAGATGCCCTGTGGAATTCATTGTAACAGGATGTAACCCGTAAAAGCAAAGGGTGCTCACTCTTAGAAAACCTCTCCTAAATAAAAACATAGGTATTCAAGATAAAAGAATGTATCTTCTTCCACTGAACAATAGGAAGTACACCAGGACTGTGAATACAAAGTCTAATTCTAACAAAGAAATTAGTAAGAGTTTTTCATACTATCAACTCTCTTGTTAACTCATTTTAAGCCTGACAGTTTTTAATGCAAACTACTTTCCTAATGTTAAAATACTATATTTAATAAATAAACAAGTTCTCTAGAAATTACAAGTGATAGCTGGATTTGATGAACTTGACCTATACTTATGAATGTAGTAGCTCAAAATACTAACTGAGAGAGGAGGAGTCTTCACATCAAGTATCAATGCTATCCCCTCTGTATACAGGGTAGATAGGGACGGGCAACTTAAGACATTGGCTACCTAAAATGAGGGGCGGGGAGAGGCCGGACAAAGGCACAAAGTGACTGGGTTACAAGCTTTCAAGAGGGACTTTAGTTTCAGAGTGTGCAGGGCAAGGTAGAGTCCCCACTAAATAGGTTTCACCTTGTCTAGATGGGTCCAGTGAAAGGAGATGGGGATAAGATTCTGATAATTCAATAGTGAGTAACTATTATCATGACTAATTGTGACTGTCATTAATTGTGACCAATAACACAACTGTATAGGTAGGAGTTTTGTAACATGATAGGGGGAGTAGTTAGTCTTACATTCCAGGACCAGAGGACCCTAGGACCATCAAGGGAAAAGAGCACAAGCAGAATGTGGGACCCTATCCAGAGAAACACCGACACCAGAGATGGAGGCACAGGATCAGGACACGGAAAGAGGGAACAGCTGAGGACTACAGACTCATGGAAAGAGAGGGACTGAGTGCTGGCAGCCAGGAGGCAGACTTGTAAAATGTGTCCTCTGGTTGTTTAAATTATAATATATTCCTGAGTGTTTTTGTGTACACCCCACCCCCGCAAAAACAACAACAAAAACAAACCAGAGGGAATAGAAGCAAATGCTGTTGAATG